TAGCTTATTTAAAATTTCATTTGTTGCAAAATACCTATGTAGACTTTACTTTTCAAAAATATTTCTAAATGGGTATTCTCACACTTCTGTCACATTAGTTTTTTACTCATCATTCTAAAAAAATGATATTTTGAAACATTTATAAAACAACTTCTATAATCTACGACCACTATCAAATAAAGTAAAATCCCCCCAATTTCTCTCTCCGGACAAAATAAAAAACCATTCTTTTTCTTCCATAATTTATAAGATTAAACAGAAACAGAGAGTGAATCGATCTCCATCGACCGAACCACGGCGACGAAGCTGAGGACGGCGGCGAAAGCAACAGCAACAAGCCCTCTTTCTTTAACCAACACGGCGCTCAAGTACATGGCTACATCAGCGGTGATCTGTCTTCCCTGTTTCACCAAAACCCGCCGTCGGTTTCCGGCGAACGCCAACAGCACCAACACCGTGATCCACGCCACCATGGTGGCTCTCGCGGCCACCACCGCCACTCCGGCAACCACTAACAACCCCACAATTGGAACCCATCGCCCCATCAAATCAAAATTAAGAACGACAATACACGAACCTGAAAGCAACAGAAATATCCCCGACAACAAAACTGCCTCCGTCGCCGGAGTAGACATTCTTCTGCGCTTTGCGTTACAGAGCAATCTGATGAGAGTATGTGCTTTTTATGCAAACCTTCCGTTTGTTATTTGTTTTTATATATGAATTATTATGACAACTCAAAGGGATATTAATTGAATCTTGGATTTTGATTGATTATTTTCAAAGTTGCCTCAACATTGGTGTTTGGGAAAGGAATTGGCAGCCATGTGCTGCACATGGGGAGGTGCTCGACCTCATTATGTGGGGGCCAATATATCTTTTCAGGGTACAAAATTAATTTCTGCCTTCAATTCATAAAATATTGCAATTTATAGTATATGATATTTTTATTGGAGCAATCATTTTTTTTTTCTTATAAAACTAATATTTAGTGAAAATTGAATGGACACTTAATTTGACGAAATTAAAATTTATGATTAAATTTGATATAAATCCCTAAAATTAGGGATATAAGCTGTTTTATAATAAGGCTGGTACTTGATAATGAGCTTTGATTGAAGTAGTAAGTCAACTGCCAATTGCATAATTTGGGGACTACTCTCTGCATGTGCCCATATATTTTTAATATAAATTTCATTCCTTTTTTTTTTTTTCTCTTTATGTCCTAAAGTTTTATATTAATGAAATCATATATTTATTTAATTGTGATTAATTAGTGTTGCTAACTACTATAATACAACTTAAATGGATAAATGATAGGAAAATAAGTAAGTCGATCTGAACTTATAATGAAGATCAAGTTGTTTAACCTTGAGACATTTGTACATTTGAAAGAAAGAATGAGCTCTCAATTCTCATCGGAGAGGAAGACTTGAGCCAAACAGTAGTCTTTCTTTTGCTTTGCTTGCCTGATGGAAGAAGATTTATAAATATATATATATATGTATATATATATAAGAGTAAATAAAGAAAAAATCATTTTTTTTAAAAAAAAACAAAAAATGGAAAATAGGAAGTAAGGAAGTATGACGGACCTGGTCCTCCCAGTTTGTGTTAAAAGTAATGAACAAAAGCAGAATGGATTGTCGACAACCTCCACATGTAATTCCCATCCATAGTATCTTTTATTTGCTACTTTTTAAAATCTTAATTTTCAACCAAATTCAAACGAGAGTTTAATAGCAACTATAATTATTTTAAGGTAATTAATAGTTAAAGAAAGAAAATAATAAATAGTAATATATATACCTTCCCTCCAAAATGCAACAGAAAAGTGAAGATTATAGCGCAAGGTAACCCGAGTAGGTAATATGCTCCAAGGTTCACCCATGCCCCTATCTTCTGCCATCCACATCCTCTAGCTAGCCCTGAATACCCATACCCATTTATTAATAACAAATTACACCCAATTATCTCTTACTAACTAGGTACCACAAATACAAAAAATGACGTATTTGCAGCACCTGGGTTAATATATAGAAACAAACTGACGTGTCATACAATAAATACAAAAGTTAGATAAAGAACTCTAGAAAATTTCTCGGGAATCATATCGTACCTGAAAGGACGCCTTGGATGGCATCCATAAAGTTGGAAGTGGCAAGTATTGGCACTATCATACTCAAATATTTCACCACCTCTGCTTCATTGGTGAACACATAACCCCATTCGTTCCTCACAGCAATTAGTAAAATTCCTAATGCCATTCCTTTTTAGTAAAATTCCTAATGCCATTACTTCTGCGACCCCCAAAACCACCACTTCCTTCGCTGCTAGCCTAGCTGCCGTTGCCTTCCCTGCCCCTAACTCATTCGACACTCTTGTGCTTCATTCATAACAGCAAAATTACCGTTTCAGTTATATCAAACTATAAAACTTAAAGTTTGTGTCTATTTGGTCTCGAAATTTTTTTTAAAAAAAAAATTCATAAATTTTCAATTTTGTGTTTAATTGATTTTCAACCCATTCAAATTTATAAACTTAGTACTTTATACCTCACTACACTGCCGAAACCATAGGCAATTCTGAAAACCAGCGAACTTGTGCTCAAGCTGCACCCAAATCATTTCACTCATAATAATTAGAAGTCTCTACTTGATCATTGTGCTTACCCAATATGTTGACTACATTATCTAAGAATAACTGAGCTCAAAATTAACTTACAAAATGATGCTTTATTTGATAAACCAAGTGTTTAGTCGGTACATACAAAATTAAAAGTTTAAAAAAAATTATAAAAAGTTTAAAACTAGCAAATATAATAGACCCAACCTGATCGACAGCATCGACGTTTCCAACCCTGGATTGGGAAGAAGCCCGGACATGAGAACTAAAAACTCGCTCAACCAGTACTCCAAGCTGCCATTCATGAATTAAACAATATTATATCATGAAGTTAGGAAATGTTTATGTATGAACGATTAAAGAGTGTTCGAGTTGTGAACGATAAATAACTTGGGAGATACCGACCGGATCAGTTACTTTACTCACCATATCATGAGTGAAGAAGGAATCGCCAAAGCCAAGAAGCCAACCAAATTCTTGATTCCATCAATGGAGAAGCCAGTCCAAGTCTTCTGACATTGAGGAGAAAACTTGATGTACAGACCCAAAACCAGCACATTGACCCAGTAAGTTATGGCAGAGGACAAAGCAGCTCCTCTGATGCCAAACCCAAATCCATAAACCAAACCCCAACAAACAAAAAGATGGATCAAACTGGAAGCTCCGGTGGCAATCAGCAATGGAGAAGTTAGATTTTGTGTCTGCAAGAATCTAAGTTGGCACTGAAGAAGGACATAAGGGATGATGCTGGGGATTAGCCACTTGCCATAGATTCCAGCTTGCTCTGAAATGAGTGGGTCTTGTTTGAGAAGTGTGAAGATTTGTTGGATTGATGCCCACAAAAGGGCTATGGGAATGCAGATAATTGAAATGACTACCATGGCTCTTTGCATGTGGATCCCGAGCATGTGATATTGTTTTGCTCCATAGGCTTGTCCACATAGTGTCTCTAATGCACTGCCCATTCCTAGCTACAAAAATGTGAAATAAAGAAACAAAATTTTGTTGATTGTGAGGGTACTGATTGAACATTGGATTTCCATATGTTAATTCGAACCTAAAATGAAGAGTTGAAAAGAAAACAATTGGCAATGGTTGGCAGTACAAGAAGGGAAGATGAAAGGAAGATAAGCAGCATACCAAGAGACTAAAGCCAGTGACTCCAGCAAAAGAGAATGCCATTGAAGCACCAGAGAGTTGCAGCTCTCCGAGATGGCCAATGAACATGATCGATATCAGCTGCAAACTATACTGCAAAAAGCTCACCAAAACCAGAGGACCCGCCAGCCCCATCTGCTTCCTTATCTCAGTCATCACCTCCTCCCATCCCTCTCCATTATCCAACCCCTTCAAATCCCTCTCACACTCTGAAACCAAATGGGCTTCATCGAGATTAAGCAACTGTGTGTTGTAATCTGCATCCCATCAAAATTAAGCAGCAGCAGACAGAAGTGTCAATTTCCAAAGAATGCAAAAGAATAAGCAAATAGGGCCACAGGAACACAATCCCAAGGCACTGCCTTTTAAATTGAAATCATGTCAGGTAGTTGCCAGTTTTAAATTAATAAGCAAAAAGGGCCACATGAACACCGAGGGGGATTAGTTTAATATAGAGAAGTAAACGCAATCACCACGTCATAAATAGCAATTGTTTATAGTGACAAACATGAAGATGGGTTGCGTGAGGAGGCTGAAGCTTCATTTATTTGACACTACTAAACTATAATAAAAGTTGAGTGAAGGAGGCTTATCTGAGAAATGAACAGTAGAATCTCAGTAGCATTCACTTGGCGATATGCATGCAGTCGCAATGTGAAGCCTTGGATTGCAGGACAACGCAGCAAAGAAAAGGCTGAATTGTTTCATTGCGGTGGCAGTCCAATTTTGAAACGCAGACAGACTTGAGTGTTCAAAATTTCAAGGCACGCTCTCGACTCTGTCTTGAACACAGCCAACAATATGATTAACCTTTAAATCACTCCAACCAGGATCAAGAAGCCTTCGAATCAATCACACACATTTTACACCTAACTAAAAGTAGTTCATTTATTTTATTTATTGGAAGGGCCAACCAAAGCAGGATCCGCTACAATGGATCTAATTATGAATGAAATCAACGTTTCCCTGTAGTTTATACACATACAAGATCTCTCTAGATTACACAAAAGTCAATTTGTGTTCAAATGTGACAAAGTGAACTAGAATAAGTATATATACATGAAACTATCAAAAGACTAAAAAGTATATGTTTTCTATCTCTTCTTTCTTTATCCTTTACACCTACATATGTTTCATACAAGATGTGATAGTAATGTTAGAAATGAATAGCCAAAGATAATCGATTGCTTCAAAGTGTAAGGAAAATAAGTTGACTCAAACTAAATATTGGAGTGAAAGAGAGTCATTCAGGTCAAACTGGATGGGAAAATATGGTTATTAGTAAGGAGAAATGTACAATGCGGCCAGTAATGAACCGGGGAGAAATGTAAGTAACCCAGCAATTTTCCCTCACTGTTCAATTGCCGTAGACACGCTACAAAAACACACAATAGCAAACTCATCCAGGCTTCAAACTCCAACAAAAATTCCTTATAATTGTGGTTTCTTATGAGTTCTCATGACAGTAAAAGAATCTACTGAACCTGATCGAGACATATCATCAAGGACCAAAAATCAGTGTGGGGTGAAGGAAGCAAGGCCGCGACAGGTAGAGGTGTAAGGAATGTAAAAATGGGTGTAAGAGCTCCATCACATTATAGCTGCTGATCAAGAAAAGGGTCTTTCGGACTTTTAGGAGATCCAACAATACCAGACACGGTTTCTGTAACCCCAGAAACGTAAGTCTTCACCCAAGAAGTGCTTCGAGTCAGCCATCCAGTCTGTCCTTGTTCTTCCACTGCAAGAGTTCTTTTTCTATCTTCCTCCTCAAGAATTTCAAGCCACCTCTTGGACATGAATGTCCTCACAGCATCCGGTCCTTTGTTTACGACTTCCATGGGTGGAGTTTCAAGAGGATTTTGCTCCAAGTTTAGTTTCTTTAAATTCTCAAGATGGCCAAATGTATCAGGTAGAGAGTGAATCTGGTTATTGCTAAGATCAAGTTCCCTAAGGCTGGATAAATCACCGAAGGTCTGTGGAAGTTCATTAAGGTCAGTAAAGTTACTGCTTAGGTTGAGATACTCAAGTTGAGTCAATTTCCCAATTGCCTGAGGAAGGCCATGAAGCTCGTTGAAATGAGCATCCAGGTAACGCAAAGAGCTCATACCACAAACAGAAGAGGGAAGTGAACGTATTTTGTTTAACTGGATAGCAAGCTTCTGCAAATTCACCAGTTCATGGCCAATATTTGTTGGCAAGTACGTTAGACTGTTGAAGCTCACATCTAACTCCACCAATGACCTACGGATTCAAGACGCAATAATAGAAGTCTTAACTTTGCGGCAGAAAATTCATAATAAACCATCGCTTAATATATTTTTAAAAAAGTGTGAAATGTGGGTACTGTACAGTCATGGAGAAATGCTAGAAAGATGACTTTTTGTTCAAAAACATGTAAAGTGAGGGATTTAAACGGTCTTGATCGAAGGAATATGCCTTAAGCAATTGATCTATGATCATATTGGCAAAATGATAGAAAGATGTTATTTCTTGCGTAGGTAAAATCTTGTACCTGCACTGGCATATTGTGTCAGGAAGGGCGTGCAACTTGTTTCCGGAGACATTCAGGAGTTTCAGCTTTTGCAGTAAGCCAATTGAGTCAGGCAATGTCCCCAGAAGATTGGATGAGGCATTCATCTCTTCTAGATTTTCTAAGCCGGATATCGAATCAGGGATAATCTGCATTAGTTGTAAATGCAAGTGAAGAAATAAAAAAAATAATTGAAGAAACAAATCATACAAATAAATATTCGGGAATCTTCAATTTTTAATATGGCCATCTCAAATCCAAGTCCAAAATTGACAGATCTGTGAAAAGCACATGCTAAGCATATCAATGGAAGTTGAGAAGATTATTATACAAAAGGCAAAAATAGCCCGACCACATATCTAAGATGCAAAGCATTAATATTGGTCTAACCAATATTACAGACTTCAGGACAATCTCCTGCCATCTGCACCAATTATTTATAGACTTCTCTCCATAGATTTCAAATCATCATCATAGCAATGATGAATAATAAGACCATGGATAGTTCATTTTTTTCCTGTCCAAAAATAAGCAGCCCCAGAGTTGGAATTTCTTCCTGTTTCCTGGATTATACCAGCAACTTCCATTGAAGAAAGTTGTTAAAAGTCCCTAATAGACTTCTTGAGTATAATCTTTCTGCCAGAGACCACCGTTCGTACATAGCATTGTCCGTTGAATTCTGTGCATCTTGGCATAAACCACCCATATCCAGCCCCCATCTTTTACAAGAGTGCTCTAAATGCCCTATAACTAGAGGACTATGACAAAGGGGAAAGAAATTCTTGGTCCTTAACATCCCAGTGTAAATTTCGATTGAAGGGCCTGCTAAAGGCACCATTGCACTAAGATCTAAATGGTCATCATTGACAGTAAAAGAATTTACAATCAGCAGAACTTCAATGGAATGGCCCCCATCCATTTATCCCATCTCCAAACAGGAAGAAAATGATATCCTCAATATATTGAAATGTTAAACCAAGAGTCTAAAAAGTGATTCTGATATCAACCTTAAGCACATCATTATTACAAAAGCAAACAACACTGAGGAGCTAAAAACCAGCCTTGAAACATACTGCACACAAGTCGATGTTAACGAAGACTTCTCAAACAGTCGGAACGATAAGCCATAGTTAAACCAATCGCGTGTCTCTAAGAAAGATTCTAATCGCCATATAAGCTACAAAAAGCCCCTATACTCGTATGAACTAATGAAGACTTCAATTCAACATAATTTCACACACAAATGGTTCATTCAAGAGCAGGAATTCATTATCGGTCGCTAGTATAATCTGTCACAGTGTGGTGATGATTCGACTACAGATGCAAAGAATAAGGCATTGAATGTCGTAAGCTAACCTTGAGTTGATTGCAGGAAATATCAAGCACAACCAATCCCCGAATACGTCCAAATTCTTCAGGCAAGAACCGCAAACGTCGGCCGGAGAGACTAACTCGATCAATTTGCTTCTCATTTGCCTCCTGAAGAATCCTCGCAACATCATCATTGACCTCCTCGTTCACTGGATCCAAGCGTTGCTCCTCCGGCAGTCCTCTCTCCGCCGACTCGTAAATCTTCACCAACCTCTCCTCAGCTTCCTTCAACATCTTCTCATACGCCTCGTGCATCGCATCCAATTGCACAATCGCCTTATACACCTGCTTCTCTTTATCCGCCGCCTCCCGGCACTCGTTCTCTTGCTGAGCAAGATGAGCCCTCCACTCGAGCAACTCCACATCCGCCGGCCTAGACGAAAGCACGATTTCCTGGAGCTTGGCAGACAACTTGGATTCTACATCAGCGAGCTTAGCATTAGCAGTATCGACAGCCTCATGGTCAGGTCTCTCCCCAAGGTTTTTGAGGACGGATCGGGTCTTAGCGACATCAGATATAGCGCTGGTCATAGAAGCCAATAACTTAGGGTCCGATAAATGAGGCATGTGATCGACGATTCGGGGGGAGGATGAGGAAGGATGGGAGGAATGATGCGGAGCGTTGCGGGACATCGGAGATGCAGGCTGTTCGATGTCGGTTTCGACGCGCGGCGATCGAGGGCTGAGAGAGGGGATTCGGGCCAGGACATAGGAAAGGATGGGGAAACGTTTTGGGTTGGGATCCATCGCCATGGTGAGTGATCGAAGAACAATTGATCGGAGCAGAAGAACAAAGAGAGTAAGAAGAAGAATAAGAAAAAGGAGAACAGACACTGGAAGGAGCGGAGATATTACACTCAGCTCGGCCAAACCTTCACAGCCGGATTCATCCACGTCATCCCAGTTGGTTACAACTGTAACAGCGGGTAATAATAAATTTCCCCATCATTGAGTTATTGATAATTATTAATTTAAAACAAAATTTGACCATTTCTTTCATCGTTAACGCGTCCGTTGCTAATCATTTCGCGTAAGATATACGGTTAAAGATTAGAGGAATTATGGATTTTATATATTTTTAATATTTGCTCTATTAATTATACAAATAATAAACTCTAAACACTATATATCAAAAAGTAGAGCATCGGTTTCTAAATTTAACAACCATATTGTATTGTAACTAAAACACTAAGTTTTTTATGATATAGCATTATTCTGGTCAAATGGAGTGAGCTGTGCTTCGCAATGACTCAGATTAATTATTCTATAATACTGTTAAAAATGAGAAATGGTTAATTATTTATCTATCTAATGAGAAACAGAATACGGTTAAAAATGAAAAACAGATCCTAAAAATATATGGTTAATCAAATTAAATCCTACCTTAAAATATATAAAATTTGAAAATAAGATAAAATATATTATACGGTTAATCAACTAAAAAAAATATTAACGGACTATTAGATATATTTAAGATTTATAGATATATTATCTAAATATTATATCTTGATATCTACCCTAATAGATCACAAACAAAACGATTTATAAATGGAATGCATATTCATTTGAATGAAAAGTTTAGTATATTTTGAGTTGTTATTAATTGTTATTGAAAAGTTGATGATTTTATGAAACTTGAGCATTTTCCGAGAGTTCCATTATAAAATTCCAATAATTTTGGTGATTAAATTATTCAAAATCCCCTCGGAGTGTATGAAATCATGAACCAACTTTTCGTGTTCTTTGAAGCCAAGTTTGACAAAATTTCATTGACCCCTCTGAATATGCGTCGACTCGGCTTCAAAAAAAACAAGGGCATTTCCGTCAAATGACTCCCAAAGCCATCCCCCTTCCTTCGTCCTTGTGATGCCAACTAATATATGGCCAACCACAACGCAACTGACTCTTCTTATTTCTCTCCAAATTAAATTCATGACCCCACCTTACCCTCCTGCCTTTCTTTCTTTTAACAAATTTTTTCAATTAATTTCCAACGCCCGCCGGGTAACCGGAACCGCGACGGAGATTGAGATTTGAGAATACGAACTCCTTTCGAAAAACTTCTGATGGATTAATCAATTTTCTTTTCAAGCAAACAATTAATGAATTCGAACGAGTTTTAAAACTATGTTCCAATAATCAACCAATCACAAATCAAAACTAAAAACTATTTTGTTCTGTTTTCTCTTTTGTCATCATCTACCTAGGGTTTGTGCTTTATATGGAGTCTTCGCCTCGAGTTTAGGGATTTTGTATCAGTGCCAGTGAGGGCATGAGTACAAAGACCTAGGGCTCCCATGGCAACAATTTCTTCCATGGCAATTACGCTGTCCGACGAAGTATTTACTTGGAGGCGAGGGGATCCGACGGATGTATCTGTACGAAGGAGAAGAGATCCGATCGTTGATTGCGTACTGTGGCGAGCTCGGAAGCGAATCCGCGCTGTAGCAGGGAGAATTAGGAAGATTGAAGTACACGCTCGACGGAGGAGAAACTTTTTTAAGAGATTTTGGAGGCGCAAGAATGGCTCTGATTTTAAGAGGATGCAACAACGACGAAGAAGCACGATCGTATTCCTCGACGATATTGGCCAAATCCTCGTCGGATCTAACTGTAATCAACATTTCCAAGTCTCCGTCTGGCAATTGGCACTTCAACGTAACGGAAGAACCACAGAATTCTACAAGCTTCACCATTAACTCTGCAAAACGGAATTAAGAAAAAAACGAAATACATGAAAACCTAGAGAAGAGAAACAAATTTCAAAAGATTTAAAAAAAAAAAAAAAAAAACAGATTACGAACCAGAATACGTTACGGAATGATCGACGGCTAGAACTCTTGTAAGACCACCAACGTAACGAAGTTTACCGTCGGTTTGACGTGGAAGAATCTTGCCGCCATAGCTACAGAGAAACTTCATGGTTCCGGCTGCAGTATTAGACCTCATGGCTTCTATAAAGTGTGAGTGAATTGAATTAATCAAGCTCTGTTGGTGGAAAGGGAAACGTAACCGAGTAGAAGAAAAGGAGAGCGGGAAGAAGACGAAGAAGAATGTGGGGAACAGGACTTCTCTTTGCAAACCGAAGGCAGTGATTTTGCCGAGTATTTAAAGGGAGAGGAGGGAGGTGGACTCTAGTGGGACCCGCGAAGCCCAGTCCAAAATACGAATATTCTTTTCAAAATTCGGAGTCCACGTGTCGATCAAACATTGGTCCACTGGGTAAGTAAGCCCTCGTTTTCAGGCTTGAAATTTGGGTGAAGGTTCTCTTCTTATTGCAACGTCTTTTTTCCTTTTTAATTTCCCTCCCTTTTTACTCTTTCCTATTTTCATACTGATTTTAATTCTGTTTTTAAAAGATCAAAAGTAAATATATTTTATCAATCAGATTCCTTTTTCAAAATTAAATCAAAATCAAACAAAATTCAGAGTTTTTAATTATATTATTTAACTGAAATGTCATATTTGCCCCCGAGCTCACCAGGAAACGTCAGCACAGTATAAAAAGAATTTATGTAATAATTTAAAGGGCAAAATTCAAACCCCAAACATGCAACATGCCACCGGGGCCTACTTGAAACTGTTCTTTATACAAAATCACGAAAATATTGATTTTTTTTCCTTTTTTGTTGCAGATAAATAATCGAACCTTTAAATCATAAATTATAATTGAGCTTTTTATTAAAAAAATAATGATAAACATTCAACTGTCAAAATTGGGATTTTGTGAAGGAATTGATTCGAACTCTCTAAGATATGGAAAGTGGTGACAGAGGAGAAAAATCAAAATTAACGTAACTAAGTTGGTTTAATAGGACAAAGTAATATAATTAAAGCTGCTTTTTTTAGTTAATATATTAAGTTAAAGAGGAAAAGAAATAAAGTGAAGGACTAATCAATCTTTCACGTAATTCCTCCCACGTGGCACTCATGTACTGGTGCTGCGTTGTCAAACACTCTTTTTCTACTCTCCCAATTTGTCCATCTCTTTTGTTTTTTCCTTTTAGGTTAAATTAATCCATATATTTCAAATAAATAAATGTTATTTACATTACTCTTAACTACCATGTACGGCCTTTTTGCTATGAGGGGATAGGGATGTTAACTAGGCTCCAGAACCAACTATCCCGAACTACCCAATTTTGACCATAAATTTTTGGTTGGGTTACATTTTACTTTTTGTATTTTCTAAGTTTGTGTCGCGTTTAAATGTCTGGAAAATCGAAAATTTAGTTTAGTTTGTGAGTTGACATTGACTCGACCGCCTCAAAAGTAAAGTTACAACCCACCCAACCCTACCCTATTTTTAAGATTTTTATGAATATTAACGAAATTCAGGTGGCCAGTTCACATCGACTCAACCCTACTCCACCTTTACCCCAATTGTTCCACATATTAATAATATTAAGACATATTTGAGTTTTATGATATTTACACCCTACATCTCAATTCAACGAACTAAAAAAAATAGGATTGGGTTGGGTTGTGATCCAGTTCCTTTCACTAACCCAACTAAGATTTCTTTAACCCAACGTGCGTACTCGATAGTTGTTAATTCTAAATTTGTGTAATGGATAGTTGTTGAAGCTTTATATATTGTAATGTATTATAGTATATCAATTTAATAGAAATAATGATATACACACATTTGTTGACTGTTTTGCAAATGATGAACACGTGATGTTCTCCGGTTTGTTTTAAGTTAACTTTTATTCCCCTTCATTTTAAAAATATAAAATTCCGACCAACTTGAAATTTTGGATGGTGGGTTCAGATTACCGTTTAAGTGGAATGGTCTGAATTAGTCGGATTCTTGAATATTATATTTCTAAAAATAAGTTGAAATGGATTTAAGATTTTTGAAAGATGGGTGTTAGTTTGAATTATATATTAGAGTATTGGAGAAGTTAAATAAAGTATGGAAACATGTGGGAATAGTTGGAGTATAAGGAATCTAATGCGACACGCATGGATGGAGCAAAATCAGCCAACGATGTTCGTTATTGTTATTATAAATGTGGCTGCTCAAATAAATAATTGTATGATTAAATTACAAATATATTGTATGTATTTTCAAGATTATGATTCAAAGGGCCTCCGACTTTAAAAAAGCATTATTATCCCATAATCTTTTTTATGGTTAATACTGATTATATTTTATTTTCCACCATCTTTTTTATTTTTTATGTCCAACAAAATAAATAGCACGAGTTGATTTGAAATTTGTATTTATATATATTTTTTATTTTCAAAATCAATAAATCTAATCGAAAATATCCTTATCCATTTTTGAAAAATATACATTTTCTTAATGGGAAAATATTATATTTTAAGTTAAATTTATCGTTAAATATGATCTAAAAATAGAATAAATCTTGACGCAAGGAATTCAATTTCTTTGGTTTAGAATAATGATAAAAACAATTATCTCGTTTTGCATAAAGATCTCCGAGAAGAGACGTATTAAAATGTTCAAAATAAAACATTTTAAGAAATTAAAAAAAATAAATAATAATTAATTAAATGCCTATACCACCCTTGCGTCGAAGGCTGATTCCACGTGGAGGGGAAGAATAGAGTTGGTACACGTGGCTGCCATAAATAAATATTATATTAATTAAATTTTAACTACGTAATGGAATTGCATGTGCTGATATGCAATGCATGCATCCATCACATCCATAGGAGTGTTTGTATTTTACTACTTTGTCCTTTTCGATTTTAATATATATATATATATGTATATGTATACACCCAAGTTGTTATTCAAATATAATAAAATTATGCCTATAAATTTATAAAATTCGTCATCTGTCATTATTTATTATTTTAGTAAATTAATAATAATAATAATAAAGCGGAATTAAATTTAGAGGAAAAAGAAAAGGGTGGGAGGACTGGGGGCAAATTCGTCTGAACAATCGTCGGGATTTGGACCGAGTTTCGGGTTGAAAGTCTAGGACGGTTGCTGTTGGGCCCACGCAAAATGGTCAAATCAACACAATTCCAATACTGCCCTCCAAGGAATCCCTTTTCTGGGTACCCTACGAGGACATAATTGATTTTTGGTCTTTATAAGCTATGGATAAACACATTCTTCCACACGTACGCACCAAAAACATTATTAACTATCCTATAATATTGTCTACTAAATTAAGATTTTATATTTCAAACAAAATTGTCCATTTTTCTAAGTAATTTATTTTAAAAATGAATTAAAAAATTTAACTTGACTTTGAAAAAATATCTTAAATAGTATTTTTTATTAATTTAGCAATTCTAGTGGAACCGATGAAGATAAAATGGTTAGAACTTTCTTTTTGTTTTATTTAAAATTTAATTATTGAAATAAATAATGAACCAACCAATGGAGACTTATAGAATTGAGCCAAGTTTGACAATTGACCATTATTTGACAAATTCCAAATTTGACCATGACTGAAACGGTCTACCTTCGTAAACGGTCATGTTTCCACTAGCCACTGTTCAGTATCACTTTTCTCTTCATTATCATTATCTGCGGTGACCATTTTTTCGGTAAGGAATAATCATGAGTTTATAAGGATTACATGTTATAAGAATATATAAATATTTTCTTACCAGAATCGTTTTAAAATTTTTGAAAGGAAACTTGAAAGAGAACACCTAAATGGGACAATATTTAGTAGTGGTGGGCTCGGACTATTACAAATAACATTAGAGTCAGATACTGGAGCGATATGCCAGCGAGAAGGGTGGTGGACATTTGACAATCTGATGAAATGGGCTCGAATTTTAGATGTGAATGAATTCGTCGAACCTTACAGTTCTCATCCCATGCGTAATGGGCCTCAGAGCCCATCATCATCGGCACCGATCCAACAATTTCAATACTATTTTTAAATTGGAACCCTTAAAAAAAAATATGTATATATATATATTATTTTTAACTTGTAATTAATATCAATATTTAGACTATTTAATACACATTTTTATTATTAATATTTTGATTAATTTATGCTTAATTGCGTTTTAATTAAGTAATTAAATTATTTAATTTTCAACTTAATGTTTAATAATGATTATTTATGTTTATATTAACTAGTTAATACACTTTTTATTTATGATCCTATTAATTTATTTTCTTACCTTTAATTAATTAGTTAATTAGAGTTCTCATAAAAAGCATTTAATAGACATTTAATTATTTTGCATTGATATTTAATATTGTTGAATGATCCAAATCAACCCATAATTATTTAATTACAACGGGAAAAAAATGAAAAAACTACTTTGAATGATAAGGATCGCTTTTGAGCGGTTGTTTCAATTTAGGAAATAAAACATAAGTTCTGGGGTTATTTGTGCATTTTAAAGAGTACAAGGGTTTAATTGTAATAATAATTTGAGGAGTGGTTGATCTAATAAATATGTGGTCGTAGCAAAGACACGATTTAGGATTTTTTTTGTAATTTTTAAAAACTAATAATTATATTGTCAAACTCAAATGGGAGCATTAGAATCTATATGTGTGTAAATTCTCACGCTATTATTGAAATTTTTGAAAGTTTAAAATTATTATTTTTAGATAAAAAGTATTTTTATTAGACTAAATTGGTATAATACATGTAGCCTAAATTGTCATTATTATTGATTTGAAAACTTCATTTTGTCCTTACATGTACATATACTTTTATATTTAAATATCCGAAACTTTTATTTATTTTTCTTTTTATGTTACTATATAAAGATTTAAAATTATTATTATTTTATTTGTTATTTATCCTCCACCCACTCAACACAATAATTCATATATATATATATATATGAATTTATGTCCACAAATTCACATCTATTCCTTCAATAATTTTCCACCCCATATTTAATGTCTTCAAAAATTATGTTTAAATGGCGCTCGCAAAATAACAATTAGATTTTTTTTTCTAGGTTCAAATCTTTGAATTTGCTCACGTCTCATGCTTCTAAGAGAAGTCTATAGCTAAGGTAGGATGGAAAACCCTTTCCTTTTTCGTCTTTGTCTCCGTCCTTACCTCTTAATTTGAATGATTGGATTAAAAAGTCTTTCCCTTTTCT